CCTCCTAAACCTGTATCTAAACAGAGCTGGTCAGAAATGAAATCAATTGAACATTATTTTTTGCATTGTCGCCGATATGCTATACTTAGAAAAAGACTTTTAAATGTTCCACTTCTGAAAATAGGCGCTACACTGACGTCAAAAACTGCACTAAATTTCGGTGCCTCAGTTTTCGGACATTGCCACGGGGATTTTTGCAATGCCGTTTGCGATTATATTCAGGCAATCAGACATATACTATTGTGATCTTCAAACAAAAAATTAATATTTGGTATCTTAAAAAAATCGAAATAGTGAGGTGAAGTGAATTCAGCTGTGTGGTAATCGCAACACCTGAAACCTCAAAATTTCTCAAATTGACTTTTCATATTTTTCGCTAACTCTCTTTTTATGTGGTTTTCCTTACATTGCTCATATTATAATACAAAATCGTTTTTACACATAGCTATAATGCTAAAAAAGTGCACTACGCTTTCTTGGCCAATCCCCCTGAATGGGTGGAGCCCCGAGTCCAAGGAAACAAACAAACAAACCAATACAGCAAGGCTGCACTGTAGGGTGCCAAAATTAAATTTCTACCAACGCAGGTATGGTCAGGCTGTTTCTCCAATGTGCGCTTTCTATGGTGAGCCAGGCCCCGCCACGGTAGTCTAGTAGCTAAGGTACTCGGCTGCTGACCCGCAGGTTGAAAGAACGAATCCCGTCTGCAGCAGCTGCAATTTAGATGGAGGCCAAAATGCTGTAGGCCAGTGTGTTCAAATTTGGGTGCACGTTGAAGAACCCAGGTGGCCGAAATTTCCGGAGTCCTCCACTACGGCGTCTCTCATAAACTTATGGTGGATTTGGGGCGTCAAGAATCAGGTTTCAATTAGGTAGCTAAAGAAGGTCACTTCGCTATTTGCCACTGCCGCGTTTGCGAAAGGAGCACACTGCTCACCCACGAAGAACTTATTCTGTGTGTTCATTTAGTGCTGAACGAAATTCACGCACAAAACGCATGCAATGGGCGCATGCGATGAAATACAGTGTTGCGATGCCTGTCATAAAACACTGTTAAAGCATCCAGGAAACGCTCCGCTCGTCTTCAGGGAGCATGAAAGGAGGAATGGCGTATAGTTTGAGCAGAAACGTTGAATTTAAAAAAAAGAAACAAGAGGGCGCTAGCATAGTCGCAGTTCCACGCCTTATTTCTACTGGCGCCAGCAGACTTGCCGTGTACCCTACTTCGTGCTGCGCTCTCAACGCGAAGAGATTCCCCAATAACGTAACAAATTTCGCTGGATTTTTCTCTGAAACAAAAATGCAATGATAACGAACTAACCCAGGGTTCAGTGGGTACAGTTATAACGGACTAACCAAGCGTTAATTTGTTATCACTGTGATTTCGTTTTAGCGAACAATACACCGAAATGCGTCACGGCCCTGATGTTTGATAAACATTTCATCTGTTTCTATTGTATGTACACGTGTGTCATGAAAAAACAAATCAGTTGGCAGTCAGCACTCGTGTCCACCCTCTTCGGTTTCCGTTCTTCACCTTGCCTCTCGTAAAGCTTTTCTTTCGGCGCTCTCGTGCATTTCCTGCAGCCCCTTTCAACATGCACTTTAACCAACTAGCCCAAATGGCCATTCTTTTTAGCAATCCTCTTCTAGTTTTTTAACGGCCTTATTATTTTACACCTGTGGTTTGCAGAGTTACGCGAGAACAGTTATAAAAAAGTTAGCTGCCAGCCTTGATTATATGTAAAGTTTAAGTCCCAAAACAACCATATTGTGACGCGGCGACATCTAGGTTTATAATATAGCGTCCGCAGAGAATCGGCAGCTGGACAAGAAGGTCAAGTTGCCTCTCGCGCAAGCGTCTACCGCACAGGCGTATTCATCCTCTTCGAAAAGTGCTACGTTTGCTCCTGTCAGTGGTGCACCGTAACAACAGGATTAAGAGAGATGCTGTAGTGGAGGGCTCCGGAAATTTAGATCACCAGGCGTTCTTTACCATGCAGCCAAATTTGAGCACACGGGTCTAAAGCATTTTTCACCTCCATCGAAAATGCAGCTGCCGCCACCGGGATTCCATCCCGGGACCTGTGGGTCAGCAGCCGAGTATCTTAGCCAATAGACCACCGTGGAGAGGCTGCTGCCAGCCTTACTTCGCATGACATTACAGTTCGTTAATATCGCATTCAGTTCTTCACTCTCTCATAGAAGGTGTGATTTTCCAACTAAAAATCTTTGTTTAAAAGAAAGCTGTTATGGAGGCTGACGGGAACTGTTATTGATAATACAATAATGGCAGTGCAAGGCGACTTTGTCACAATGAAATAATAATAATAGTAATAAGATTAATAATAATAATAATAACATATTAATCATAATAATAATAACATATTAATAATAATAATAATAATAATAATAATAATAATAATAATGGCAGATTCGACGTACCATGGGAATCGATTATACGTGTAGCACGAATGAGAAGCTTGGGTCGATATGCCACTTTCTAATCAGCACAACGTTAAGAGGTGGAGGTAAATTATGCCACACACGACTTCCGTGTCATGATTATCATGTTTGGATATATCGCTTACCTTCGTCATCTGACGACGTCACGTGATGCCAAATTTAGTACATGTAGAGCTAGCGAAACGGCCATGAGCACGCTATAAGCATGGTATGTTGTCACGTTCTTACATGACACGCGTCTCATGATTCTCATGTTTGCACCAGTTATATACCTTCGTAATTCGGTGACGTCACGTAGCACCAAATTTTGTATATGTGGAGCTTGCGATGTGGCCTCGAGTGCATCATGAAAGGCCCAATATACTCCAACGTAACATTGATGCTCGCGCACGCTAGGCACAGCAACGCGACGTTAGCAAAACGCGAGCACTCTATAGTCTGAAGCCAAGCGCGACCAGCGTGACCAGCGTCCGTCGTCCTGGCTCGACGGCAACCGGCGCGAAATGCGACATGCTGCATTTGACGCCAATGCGTTACCAAGATAGCACTGCGTCTGCCTCTATTGGAGACGGAGGGAAGCCGGACGCGCTGAAACGCGCATGCGTCCAAGACGCAGCGCCACGCGGGCCGGCGAGTGTATAGCAGGACCGGTACCTGGCGTGGCAACGCCGGCTTGATGCAACGAAACGAACACCGGCACGCACACGCCCCGGGTCACGTCGAAGTGTATTGGCGTTGTACTGCGACATGTAGTCATGTTATATAACACGCATCTCATGTTTATCATGTTTGCACCAGTCTTATACCTTCGTCATCTATTCACGTCCAGTAATACAAAATTTTGTATAAGTGAAGCTAACGAAACGGCCACCACCGCATCATGAGCGTGGCATGTAGTCATGTTGTTACACGACACGCATCTGACGATTATGATGTTTGTACCAATCAGATACCTTCGTCATTTATTCACGAACCGAAATACAAAATTTGGTATATGCGACGCAAGCGCAATGGCCGAGAGCGAATTGTGTGCGTGGCATGTAGTCATGTTATTTCATGACACGCATGTCATGATTTTCATGTTAGGGTTTGTCGCTTGTGTTTGTCATGCAATCATGTCATACCATACCAGTTTAGCAACATGTCATGTGAACTAAGCCACCGTAAGAGCATCAAAACCATGAATTGTAAATCATGACATTCATGACACATGTCAGATTTTCATGCTATGACTAGTCAGATATGCTCTTCATATAGCCATGTTATGCCACACCAAGTTTCCCATCGATACCTATATCAAAACGGCCAGGAGAGCTAATTGTCGTAGGCGGCTAGATAGATGGATAGATAAATAGATAGATAGATAGATAGATAGATAGATAGATAGATAGATAGATAGATAGATCAATAGATAGATATATAGATACGCTTAAAGTCGCCGAAGTTCGCCAAGAAATGCTTCGCACTTTAATAATAATAATAATAATAATAATAATAATAATAATAATAATAATAATAATAATAATATATATTATTATTATAGTAGGAATATTCATAATAGTGGTAGTAATATAACAACATTATAATATCTCCGGTTTAGTCCCCAAAAGCGTGATGATTATAAGAGACGTCGTAATGGCTAGCTCCAGTAATTTAAACCGTCTAGTGTTTTTTAACGTGCCCTGAGCTAGGACACTACAAGGGCACAGTGAACCAAGCTACACTATTTAGCGTGGCTACAGAGAAAAAATTAGAAACGTAGCCTGGAAGTGTCAATGAGCGTGCTGAAATAAATTCGGACATTACTAACGCCTTATGAAGATATCAACCAAAAGAGCTTATTAATGATAATACCTGTGCTACAAACCAAAGGTTGTAGGTCAGATTGTTTTACATCTGGTTAGTGTGGTTTTGGCGTCATATCTATGCGGGCATCACACTGGTCATGATCACCGACAGGCAAGAATATAAAATGACCAAGCCTATGATGAGGGCTAGTACAGCGAAGTGTAATTCGAGACATTCTCTGTATATTAGGTAGGGTTTGTCTTTATGCAGCAGAAATAACACCCAAAAGTACGTACAGCTGTTGATGTAAGACAATCAATCAAATGAGTTCGGTATCTGGTGCAACATTAGGACGTGATAATCTTGATAGCCGAGCCACGCTGCGGTGGTCTAGTGGCTAAGGTACTCGGCTACTGACCCGCAGGTCGCGGGTTCGAATCCCGGCTGCGGCGGCTGCATTTTCGATGGCGGCGGAAATGTTGTAGGCCCGTGTGCTCAGATTTGGGTGCACGTTAAAGAACCCCAGCTGGTCGAAATTTCCGGAGCCCTCCACTACGGCGTCTCTCATAATCATATGGTGGTTTTGGGACGTTAAAACCTACAAATCAGTCAAATCAATCTTGATAGCCGAATCCTTTTTTAAGTTCTCGAAGTGTTTAGCGCACATTTAAGACTAAAGCACACACTGTCAGCAGCACATGTATTGCTCGCTGACTGAATGAGTAGGAACAGTTGGAGATGCTTACCGACAGTGGCATTTGTCAGTTCATCGACCAGCCATTGTAGGGAATCGTAGCTGCGCATGGTGAAGATGTTCTCCCGTTTGGAGGCGATCTTCTTCAGTGCTTCCATGTTCACTGCCCCTGTTATGCCTATGCAGTATACGTCCACACCAAAGCTCACCTTCAGCTCATCAGCATCCTTCCCGGCATCTCCTCCAATGTTCGCTTTACCTGGGCGAAATGGAGAGATGCACAATTGCAAGCTTGGCAATTGTTTTGGTGGGGAATTCCACGTGACACACTCAGTCAAAACGTTCGCTTTTACTGCAGGTAGGGAGCCTTCATGTGCGCGCCACCTCCGTGTTTTAGTGTGGTGTCAGCCTTTGACCCACCACTTGCCACCACCCAGCAGAAAACAATGTTGCCAGTCCCGGTTTCCGTGGCAACAAGCGCGATGTTAGTTCCCGTGGTCAGGCGTCCCTGCTCCGCCCGCTGCACTGCACCAGCTGCTTGTTGGCGCTGGTGTGAAAGCTGTGGCATGAGCTGCGTTTGACTACACCGTAGACCTAGCTTCCGCTACAACACCATCCTTACGCTAAGTGCACCTACAAGAACTTCGCAGTGTAAATGGCAAGGTGCTGCGTGCCCCAATGCAAAACAATCTGAAGGCTGTTCCGTTTTCCGATTTGCTCTATATATAGCCGACGCAAACGCTGGATTGCACAGGGGAAAAGAGATTGCTTGGAGCCGACTACTTCTTCTCGTGTGTTGAGGTAAGTACCCATTGCATTGCGGATGAATTGCTTATATCACCACATATCTTGTACAATCATTGACTTAGCCATGCGATGAAAAGCAGTTTGCGCTAAGTAAACCTGACAACTTGCCCGTAAAAAATGGATGACGCTTCATTCGAATACGCCGTCCTATGCGAGTGAAAACTGGATAACTTATGTATGATTGTGATCCTCGTAGTCGAACCACAGTTCACCAATAGAAAGATATGACTAGTCGAACGTGTGGTCTTGTGTGCATTTACTATCTGCGTTTCATCCGCTTCGGAAGCCGTCACTGAATTCGTCGCGGGATATGCTAGGCCCTTAAACTACCAACAGACTCTCGCATTCGCGTCTTCTTTCGCTGGCAAATGTTCGCATTCCAGCACTTTCAACTCGGTCGCTGATAACGGGCATTTGGAAATAGACAGAGGAGCCAATGAACGCGTTCCCTGTAGACTCCTGTAGTCCTGCAAAGTTGCAACTCAACTAAATTTTGTGCGGCTTGCCATGGGGTATTCGTTCTTCCCTTCAATGACACGCGGAAATGCACGTCGAAACTCACTAAGTGCTGGCAAAAAGGCTTTCGCTTTACAAGAATGCCACGAAATGATAGTTTGTCTCCATCCATCGTTCTGTATGTCTGTGTGCCCTGAACGCTGTAGTATATGTCCACTAAGCAAGTAGGTTGTTGGCCTCTAACTCAAATATGCCCTATAATAGATTGGTGCTGCGTCGTTATTTTTGTCGGCCCTTTGTTTCATAACCAGCCCACAAAGATGATATCGTGAACTCAGTAATTATAGAGTGCTTGTAGAGAATATGTGTATGAAAAGCGTATACGTCGTTGAAACCGTGTGGGACTTTTCGCCATATTACTTTATTGTGGGCCCACTGCGAGGACACAAGCTTTCAGAAAAGAAAGCAGGACGGTTTAATAAAATTGAGGTTAGAAGTTGCTCGGGTGCTGTTTGATATAAAATCTGATTTGAAAAGACTTGGTTTCACCCTTGTTGCTCCCATTTGATTTTCTTTTATCCCTATACACAGGCTTTCTGGGGGAGGGAAGGGTTGGTTTGTTATGATTGAGTGCCCTGATATTTTCTGGATATGCTAACCATTTAGAAGTTTAAGCAGTCCCCTGTACAGATTCGTCCGCAGGAAGTAAACTTGCTACAGGTAACTATATTACGGTCAAAAGCAACATTTAGGGTATCAAAAACTGGCTTAGCGGATTTATGTAGTTTATAGAGAACATCGGAGCTATCTGGTTGTTTGATCTGCCTTTCCTGTCATTACAGGTAACGTCATATAATACAGCGTGGTCTCAAGCCTTGCGGTAGAGAGCCTTTGAGGTGTCTGCAGTGATAAGGTGAACTTGCTTCAGGAACGCCCTGGAGATATTAAAGTTTGTTCACAGTGATATCGGGGTTGTCCCCTCGCAAACATAGGCTCCTTAAATATCCTCACTCGGCCAATGTGGTGGGTCTACCAGCTGGAAGAAACGAACTGTTTTAACATTATTTTTTTCAAAGTGAAGTCAACGAACACGTTTTTACTGTTCTACGAAACGACGGCTAACTTCAGAAAACAACCTTTCAGCTTTCAGAACTGGCAATGTAAAAAACCCGCTCCTTCGTGTTCAAACCCACCCTGCCTCAGCAACCGCTGAGAACTAACATAGTGGCCCGTCGAGTATGGCAGCCGTTTAGCCTGTTGTAAGCAACCACGATCGAAGTTGTCACCAACCTAAAAAGCGGAGGAGACGTGCACATGTTGTGTGCTCTCTACCTGCAGCAGGTAGCGCACACCAAAGTAAAGATAAGTAATACTATATTGTATGTGGTCAGGGCTCGAACCAAGGAGGTTTAAAAAAATTGCCGGAGTGGAAGCTCCCACAATGCTTTGCCAGCAGTAGTGAGGTAACTTTTTCCCTCCGAAGATCTCATAAACATGATATTTTTTGGTGGTGCCCACTCAGACATCAAGCGGATTTGATTTGTTAGTCTAAAGGCTACGTTAATAACTATTTAATAGGTAGTTTTTTCCAAAAAATTTTTCCATTGAGACTGGTATCGGTTACTCAATCTCTAATAAAGTTTGCCTTGAATTCGAAGCTTACTAAAAAAACTAGTAACACAAAGGCACAATTTGAGCACTATCTGTCCCAAAAAGGTAGTCACGTTAAACTCGTTGGGCGTTCGAGGAAAACGCTAATTCTCAAACGCCGAACGCCGACAGCTCTATATTTATAGCGCGAGAACAAAATGACGATACAGAGACAAGAAGGACACGAAGGACACGAGTACTAACTTCCAACTGAGTTTATTGCACAGAGCACGAAAATATACTGAGGAGACAGTAACCATGTGACAAAAACCATATGGCACAAAGAGCAAAACATGAGTAAGAGAAAAACAAAAACAAAAAAGCACAGAAAAAGGCAAAGAAAAGTCTATAAGGAAACAAAACAGAAAAGTAAAGATAATATAACTACTTGCCCGCACCAAAACCTTCTAGAAACCTTAGTTCCTTCTCGGACAGAGACACGGAGGGCTTGCTACTGCAAGACACCTGTTCGCGTGGCATCTGCGTGGCCTCGGCATATTTGCTTTCTATTCCACAATCATTGAAGTATGAACTCCTAAACCTGAGCAATATGGGTGAGTGCTAAGGTTGTGGTCGTACGTGAGACGTTTCACTGGACAGACAGACAGACAGACAGACAGACAGACAGACAGACAGACAGACAGACAGACAGACAGACAGACAGACAGACAGACAGACAGGCAGACAGGCAGGCAGGCAGGCAGGCAGGCAGGCAGGCAGGCAGGCAGGCAGGCAGGCAGGCAGGCAGACCGAAATTTTTGCGTTGAGGTATCCCAACCAAGACTATCGTCTTTAAAAAAAGAAGCATGTGTTACCGCTCCATCAATAGAGTTCCCGCATTTCACAGATTGATTTGCGAGAAGTGTCCATTCGGCGTTGTTTGGTACCTGGTGTCATTGCGCCCAACAAAATAAGTGCGCAGAGCTGTGCTTCGGCGGTACGCTGAAAAGTCTCTGCTGCCGGCGTTTTTATTTTTTTTTCTAGCCTCTAGCTTCCACATCTATCGCAGCACAGAATCTCTTGTTCATTGTGGCTGTCTTTTCTTGTCTGTTGTGAAACCCTATGCGTGCAATGGGTAACACCGCCTATGTTACTCTAGAAGGCGCTGCCAGCGATATTGAAGATGTTGTTAGTTATCTTGGGCAACACATGGCACCATTAATCATTTATAGCGGAGTAGTTTAGTCAACCTAAAGAATGCTTGTTAATTTATTTCCAGCCAAGGTGACACTCCCGAAGTGTTTACCGCAATCAAAACTGGAACGCACACTGTTGCCGGCACATGCACAGCTTTTGGTTGAATGACTAGGAGAAGGTAGAGAGGCCTACCAACGCTTTTCAAACAAAGAACGTCTTCACCATGCACAGCTACGAGTCCTTACAAAGACTGGCCAACAAAGGGACAAATACCGCTGTCGGTAAGCCACTCTACCTGTTCCTACTCAATCAGCCAACGAGCTGCTGACAGTGTGCTCTCGAGTGTTACTTGTGTGGGCAACACTTCAAAAAACTGGAAATAAGTGAACACGTAATATATATAACGTTTATTAAATTATTGGGCGATCAAGATTATCGTGCCCTTCTGGTACACAAGATACCAAGCCTCGGTTACCTAACACTATCCCGATCATCACTGTAGGCGTCCGCCATTTTTTAATTTAGGCGTTCACAAGCCTGTTGTTCGTCTTCTGGCCAATGTTTCTTGTTTCTTTTTTTGATCCGCAAGACTACCCTTGGTTTTTTTAGAGGCACCATGCATGTAAGCGCCTTTCCAAAGTAACCATATCTGCTGTGTGCCTCTGTGAACGCAAAAGGCTTTACATGAGACAGGAAAGTACAGCCACGAAGAATAAAGAGCTCAGTGGACGGACGGAAAAATTTTATTGAAAAAAAAAACCATGCAGGGTTACCTGCCCGAGCTCAGGCCATCCCGACGTTTTGTGCGGTGAGGTGTAGCCTTTCCACTGCCACCTGGGCCCGCTGGATTGCCCTCACTTAGTAGTGCAGATCTGAGCTATACAGCGAACTTACAACGCTCGTCGTCCAGTCTTATATTGTCATCTCGGTATATTACAGCGACCTGTGTGCATTGCCATATAATATGTGCGATATCTGCGCGTTCATGCTTACAGAGGGTACAGCTTGCTTGTGGGTATTGTCTGGAATTTACTATGATTAGGTCTACTGCGTTTGAAAATTTCTGGTTTTTTATCTTCGCCAATCTGTTTCTTGCAATCTGTCTAGCTGTTGCTGTGGTGGGTAATATTCTTCTGTTTCGTCGTTGCTTATAGTGTGCCAATATGTCATGCTAAGTGACTATTCTGTCCCTGTCGTGTTGTATTGCGC